AGTAAAACTTTCCTTCTTGCCACGAGAGAAGATGGAAACGGACGATGAACAATTTCAGTCATTTTCTTCGGATACTTCGATTTTTTCAGCCGAGAGCGATCGCGACGAGACCGACGAGGAAGAACTTGAGTCACCTGTCGAGTTCATCGAGGAGGACTCTGAGGTTGAAGTTGACCTCGGTGAGATTGCTGAGTATGTAGACAACGAAGAGATTCATCTTCACTTTGGAGGCTACGAGTATGAGTTTGTGGGTGAGGTGTCACCGAGTCAAAAATGTCCGGTGTGCCTCCTGCCCATGAAAGATCCTGTGCAGACTACAGAGTGTGGTCATCGATTCTGCAGGGGTTGTTTGGAGGAGAATATTCTAAGGTAGATCAGTGGCGCTAATATTAATATCACGTAATCTTAGTCATTGAACTTTAGGTAATAAACGCTCGTGCGACTGTAGCTTTTTGTATATTTCTTGTCTATTTGATGATCCCAGTGATGTTGAGGACAATCTTGATTGCTAGCATAATTATATTTTCCGCGCTTTATATTTGTAGTGACCGGTACTCTATCTTCGTGGCCAAGTAATGTTAAGACCTTCCTGGGTTCACGTCGTTCTCAGTTTATTTTGTAATAGTTAGAAGGCGGTCATATTAGTGAAGACATAGGATGCTGGTTGGTCAATTACGTACATAATATGCATGCTCAGTGCTGACCGTTCACGCTTCTGAAGCGTTCATATTGTATAATAAACTAACTACATCAGTTAGTTCCAACCAGAAAGTATCAGAAAAGTCGAAAATTGGCCATTTTTACTTGACAATTCCCGTTCCCCAGGAAGACAGAATGGATCTGTTTACTAATCCTGAACATCCTTCGTTTCAAATTCGCTCTTGGACAAAAAATGTTACATCAGGTGGGTCCATACATGGGTTCCATTCGCGTAGTTTTCGCGCATTCTGTTTTGACAATGCGGCACATTTTTTTTATAGCTGATGGTAACAGTGAAATATCATGGCTGGTTCCCCGAACGGGCGAATCCCAAACCAACAAAAGGGCAATTGGTATGCGCATACGTCAATATGGTCTGAAGAAGAAGTGCTAGAGAAGCATTTTCTGCGAATAGTTTTAACAACGATATTATACGTTCACTACCAGCATTTGCAGCCTGTTTTCTGGAGCTGAATGAAGTATATTATTTTGGAGCTTCATTCGTCAAACGTGTTCTTTAAGGTATGAAGGTATTTCTACGATGAATGTCAGTTGTTATTGTGGCCTCGCTGTCGCCCTTGAGAAGACTTATTTCCCTTCGTAAAACAGTGCATCGAAGACAAGATAACGGTTAAATGTTTTATTACGAACCCACATTTCGCGCACATTTTTTGAAGAAAAAAGTTTATAAGCGCCGGGACCCTAAAATAATAAAATAATTGTTAATTGTGTTAGGTTAAAAAGGAAATTAATAATACCTAAGTTAATACGATTCTTTTTGTCGTCCAACTTTCAAATGAACGTCGCCCTCAAATAAGCGCCGCACTGCAGCGTAAAAAAATTAAATAAGCGCCACGGTGCTTATATTCGAGTGAATACAATTCGCTTCGCTATGAGCCCTGCTTTACGGACACCCGCTTATGGCTAGGAACGCATTTGAGCGTTTAGTTTTAAAACAGATTTTTATGATTAGCAATTGTTTGCCCCACAGGAGTAGTCATCCAGTTCGTCCAAATGATCGTCAGGAAATTGAAGAGGAAGGCGGTGTAAGTACTTGACCTTAGAAACATTTTGTTATATGAAATGATGCGCAGCACAGTTAATATTATTACTCTTTCGAAATAATATATTTTTCTCTGTCGGATTGCCATTAATGCTACAGCCTGTTCTTAATAACTAAAAGGCGCTAACCATATTTGGAAGATGTTTGACATCATTTTACGATTTGACGTGAGAGCGGTGCGGCCGTCATCTTGGTAGCGGTGCAGGATTCCAAAATGTGGCCAAATATTTCACAAGCTATAGTTTGTATGACCCGGAGAAAATCAAATCAATCAGTCACTTTGACATGATAAAAATATTTTTGACGATCAGCCTCCAGTTGATTTGTTAGTTCAATAGATCGCTCCCGATATGTATCGCAGAGGCCAGTCAAGGGTTTGAATCCCCGCGTGAAGCCTGAGGCTACTTTCATACGGCGTTCCGTAGGCAAGGAACCATACCTATCCCGCGTGCGAAAATTTAAACGCCAACCGTTCAAAAATTTGAACTCCAAAGTCGAAGAAAAATAATGTAGCCGGTACGGTTGGAATATTTTGATCGACGTGGTGTGACCTCAAGTAAATTTTTTTACCACAACAGCGTGGTTGCATTTGATGCGTATCTAGCTGGGGGACACCATTTCAGCCACATTGGATTTATTGGCATAAAGTTGAAATTCAGCCTGGTTCGTCAGTTCCGTGTGAACAAAGCGCAAATATTTTAACTGCTTCCGTGTGAAGGAAGTGTCCGG